TTATTTACAGGATTGAATTTAAAGATTATATGGCAAAATAGAACTCTTAAAATATGGAAATTTGTTGGGTAAAGAGAATATTTCTTTAGAACACAATTTAACTGCAATAAAAGTCTATGAAGAAATAATTGGGTTTTAACTTGATATAGATGTGAACCCATGACTAATTATTGACTTTAAAATGTGTGTATGTTTTTTAATTTATTTAATTGTAATATAGAGTTAGGATAAATAGTATAAAAATGTAGACAGGCAGAGAGAGGTGAGAAATATTTGACATGTCACCAATAATTGATAAGTTATTTTGGGACATGAAGTATTTACTATAAATACACTATCCTTCCAGCCTAAAACTAAACTTGCTGATCAAAAGGTGTATTTCTAAATCAAAAATCAATTAAGAGGTTGTTGTAAAAATGAAGCTTCCAGCTCATCAAAGTACAAAGAATAAGCACTTAAGGCAAATGTGTAGAACAATTTACTGATCAAATTTGCAATGCTCTTTCATGCTCCCAAGATGAAAGCATTTCAAAAAGACACTCTTTTACTCCAACCTCCACACATTTCCTCTGGTCAGAACCAATGACATGTTAATATCCCAGGCAGTGAATGAGCACACATTTGCAGTAGCTTTCTTCTATCAATCAGAGAAGGGGTAAGTAATTTCCAATTAACATTACCAGATTGATATACACTGAGTGGCCAGATTATTATGATCTCTGAACACATAATAATCTGGCCACTCAGTGTATATCTTATATAATAAAAGGTTAATATGCAAATTGTCCCATAAACCAGGAGTTCAACCAGCAGACAGGCCGGACAACTGCCCATGTCCTTCCCCCTGACCAGGCTGGCCAGACCCCCACCCATGCACAAATTCACCGAGCCTCTAAAACACACACACACACACACACACACACACACACACACACACACACACACAGAGTGGCCAGATTATTATGCGTTCAGAGATCATAATAATATGGCCACTCAATATATAAGAGATGTTATCTCTAGAACAAGCATGTCAAACTCAAAGGCTAACAACGGGCCAAATAAATGAGGTATGTGGCTCATGGGCCACGAGTTTGGCATGTACCCAAAGTGTGGCACACATACCCCAAGGGTATGGGAAGAGTTTGGTGGGGGTACGCGTTGCACCGGAGTTTGGTGGGGATATGCACTGCACCGTGCTTAACTGCTCCTAACTCTACGTTCTCATGAGTACGAGGGGTACTAAGCGTTACAAAAATTATAGAAGGGGTACATATATGTCAAAAGTTTGGGAAACACAGCTCTAGAGTGACAACATTGGCAAATTTCTAAATATACCTTAGAAAATATGCAAAATGAATTTTTTATTGATTCTAAAAGTTATTTTATTCAGTGTTAATTAATACTCAACATTACTAACTTAACTGTATATAACACTTTATTGTTTACAAATATATTTATATTCTCATCTTAAAAACCTATAATCTTCCTTTTTCTTGCAAATACTATGAAGATAAGAAAGTTAACTGCAAGGAGAAGAAATGGAGATACCATGATAGAGGGAAAATCAAGAAAAATTAGTCACTTTGGGACAAATTATGTTTACTATACATAATCTAAGCTACTGAGTGAACAGGATCCCATGTGGCTGGCCAACAGATATTTGTTGAAATAAGTACTAAGTAGTGAGCTGGTTTATTTTTGTATCCATGGGGCCTTTTGTAAAGATATGGGCCATGCTCAGAAATTCTTTCTGAATAGCCTTCTAGCATGTACCAAAATAAGTAATGAAAAGTTACATTTCTATATTATATTATTTTTATTAGTCATCAAAAGTACCTAAATAACCTCATAAAGTAGCCTCTTAATATTCCCAAATTTGTGTCATTATTAAGACTACTTTTGCTTCTGTCACTGGAAAACAATTATGGTCCTTATGCCTTTCCTTTCCTTTCTTCCTTCTTTCATCCTTCCTTGCCTCCTTCTTCAATCTCTCCCTTTCTCTCCTCTCTTCCTCTCTTCCTCTCTACCTCTCTCTCTCTTTGCTTTTTAAATATCTAACTGCTCTTTCTCTTCCCCTTCCATGTACCCAACATTATGGCAAGAAAAGGTAGATTTCTATAGTTAAAAACAAACAAACAGTTGTGTGTTAATTTTTATGGTCTGTTGAAAATGTAGAGATAAGTGACTGATCTCCATATCAGCAATGTGCTAAGTCATTACTTATAGGCAATGAGAGACAAAGGAGTGAGATAGAAAGTTTTAGCTGGCCAGATTTGGACTAAAACTGGGTATGATTAGTTGGTACAGGAATGAACAGGGCTAACCTATCAGGACATTTGGTAAGCCCAAGGAACCAATGTTCACTTGCCATTTCCTAGTCAAGGACATGCTTCCAGGTCAAGGGAGAGTTTGAAGGTACCGAATTCAAGAGGAAGGGTGTCTAGGGGCAGACACTGCATTCAAAGTGATTGGCTAGGCAAGACCAAGAGAGGAGATTCAGAAAGGAGGCCAGCAAAGGAGCTGTGGAGGTACTGGGGCTGGAATGAACAACTAGAAAGTCAATCCATTATGCACAAGAGGATTGTAAGCCCACATTTGATTAGAATTGAAAAGAAAAACCCATTCTTGTAGACTAAAACTCTTTTACCACAAACAACAGTGGTTGTGTAATTTAATAACATGGCCCCTTATGACTTGAGAGTGATCATTGTAGAACCTTTTCACAGGGTAAATGTGTAATTGGTTCTAGATCAATAAGCAATTTCTTTCAGGAGGAAAAGCTCTTGTTTCCACTTTTATTTTTTGAAGTAGCAAGGCTCTTAAATCAGAATGGAGCAAATACATTTAGGAAGTTGAGATTACACTAACCAGCAAGAATCCTTACTGGACTAGTTAAGTTTATCTCAGCTGATCATTTATTTATGATGCCATAAAAATCCAGATGCTTTCAGTTTTGATTGTTGGATATTTGCTGAAAGGCAGATGAAATTACTTTCCCAGGGTTCCTATTTTTGACAAATGCATTTTGAGTGAAAAATTCACAACCGTAAATTTAAAACAGTTCAATAATGGTCATGCTGAAGTGTTTGGTTTTATTTGGTTTTGTTTGGTTTTCTTTTCAAGATTAACAATGAATTCAGCTCCTGGTGGTCAGCGTAAACCCTTACTCAGTGTATTTGAAATTCTATAAGTATAATAGAAAACTAAGATTAAGAAAATAAACTCCTAGATACTGAAAACAAACTGATGGTTGCCAGATGGGAGAGCAGAGAGAGGTAAAGAGATTAAAAAGTACAAACTGGATATTACAAAATAGTCACAAGTATGTAAATTACACAATAGGAAATATAGTCAACCATATTGTAATAACTATATATGGTGTCAGGTGGGTACAACACTTATTGAGGATGATCATCTATAAGTTACAAAAATGTTTAATCACTATGATGTATACCTAAAACTAATAAAATATTGAATGCCAACTGTAATTAATAAAATATTAGTAAAATAGATGAATAAAACGTTGAAAATTAAGATCCCGTAGAAGTCTGTGATAACATATTTTCTTTCATGTTCGGTTATTTTCCTAACATTTTAGGAAGAGTGCCAGAAGGCCAATTTCTAACAGGGAAGAACATATTGACCTAATCAAATATCCTTTGAGGCACAGGTGCCAGTAAAGGGAGAACTGATAGGGATAGACAAAAACAAAACCAACTTATATGATCGCATGAGGCAGAAAAGATAAAACTATACCTCAAGAATTAAAAGGAGCCGAGACCGGTTTGGCTCAGTGGATAGAGCGTCGGCTTGGGGACTGAGAGGACCCGGGTTCGATTCCGGTCAAGGGCATGTACCTTGGTTGCGGGCATATCCCCGGTGGGGGGTGTGCAAGAGGCAGCTGATCGATGACTCTCTCTCATCGATGTTTCTGGCTTTCTATCTCTCTCCCTTCCTCTCTGTACAAAAATCAATAAAATATCAATAAAATATTTATTTAAAAAAATAAATTAAAAAAATAATAAAAAAAGAATTTAAAAAAAAGAATTAAAAGGAGGATGAAGTGATTTATATGCTTCAGAACCTCCCAGAAGATACGTTGGACCAAGAACTATAATGATAAGAACCCTTGACAGTTTTTAAATATGTGACATGGTTCTTATGTTGACATATCAGTAAAACACAAATATCTCTAAACAATGAGAGCCTGCCTGTGCTTCTCTGCAAATATTGCAAGGGAATGAGGAGATGCAAAATTGCAACCATACAAATAGGTAACAGGGCAGAAATGTAGGGCTCTACTCAGTGCTGGCAGTGTTAAAAGGTAAAAATAAGCTTTTCACTTATAAACTATCATTTGCTATGTACTGTGTGCTGACTAAATGCTTGTGGGAGGTTTAGACTGTGGAGAAAAACGGAAAGGTCCCAGGATATAAATGACACAGGATTTTCTTGACACTTCTGTATTAAAATAAGTGTAAATAGCACAGAAACAAGGTTTTTGCCATTTTCTTTCACTTCCCCAGATAGCTTCAAAGTCTCCTTTTCTCCCACCCACCCATGGTATTCACCTTCAGACTGTTCCCTACCCAGACTAGAAAAGAAATAAGGACATCGGACCCCTCTCTTTTGATGCTACCAGTATGACAAGCCCCGGCTCCCAGCCAAATTAAACAACACCTACAGCACTGCCTAGAAGCACTAAAACACCCCAAAACAAACCTTCATAAACAGATAAGTGAGAGGAACTCACACTTCATACAAAAGCACAATATTTTCTATTATGAAGAACATTTTTTATCAATTATAATAGTAATAGGTATAACACTTTATTATCTCTTGAATATATTTGTCTTTTCTGCACCGAAAGGTCTGGTTGCTGGAGAGAGAACATTAAAACCAACAAGCTATGATAATTATAAGTTACTTACCAAAAACAAACAAACAAAAAACACTAACAGTGAAAAGCAAAGGCTGGATCTTATTTTTAAAGTACTTACTATATGCAGCTCTAGGTAGTCCCCCAGGCCAGAAGAACTGTCCACTCGCACCAATACGGCTTCTTTCTGAACAGTGCTAAACCCTATGGCCAGTCTGTCTGCTCGTGTACTTGGCCGGTCATTAGGAGGCCACTTGTATGTGATTTGTCCACCACCTTTGCTAAAGATATACGTTGTCCCAGCTGGAAAACAAACAAACAACAAACAAACAAACAAACAATTAGTCCAAATATGTGAGAAATATCCTTTTTTGTGTGTGTTAAGTTGACATATCAATAAAGTATTACATTTATATTATGGCGACAATAAAAAAAAATCTTTGGCAAAGCAAATAAGCAAATAGCAGATTTCAATCACACATTCTCAAGAAAAAGATCTGTATTTTTTTTAAGAAGTATCAAGGCAGCTCAGTTTTTAATACACTCATTAAATCTCCCAGCAGGTGTTTCAGAACAAACGGGAGATTATTGCTTTTTCAAAGGAGTTGGACAAGCATAGAATGTAATGGGGTTTTATTTCTTTCTGCCAGTTTTCAAGAAAGAGTGTGGTAGGAAGCATTGGCTTTGGACGCCTGTGAAAGGAGCAGAAAAATATATCAACTTGGTTTTGAAACAAGGGTTGCATGCAGATGTGACCGGGCCATGCAGCACAATGAAGCAAATCGCAACAAATACGCTGCGAATCAACTTTTATGGGGAGCATGTCTGTTCACATATGACTGATGACAACTAGTGGGTGAACAGTCATAAGCCCCAGTGGTCATGTCCAGAAAATACAGATATTAGATCACATTCATAGAAGTCAAGTCTTATTTAACAAGCAACATCTAGTAGCTGTCATACTCCCCAGCAACATGGAAAGACCCATTCTCCCTCCCTCTTCCCAAAGTGAATACTAGTCTTGCAGCACTAACATGAATGTCATAGCCACATGTGGTGAATGTTCAGATTTTACTTTCTGGTAGTAATGTCAGTAAATTATCCATCTTACTTTAAAAACAGGGTTTTCTTCTTCAAACAGGTTTACTAAGCATACAAAGCATGGAAGTCTTTTTTTTTTTTTTTTTTTTTTTTTTTTTTTTTTTTTAATCTTTGCTCCCCGGGAATTTATCTCACTGGGTGCAATAAAATCAACTGTTTCAGTCAGGATATTTGGAAGACATAGGCAAAGATATACATAATGCAAAGTAGATCTTTTTCCACACACAGAAAAAAATTATTGGAACAGAACTTAAGGTACAACTTATAGAGGGGCGTGTAGCCACTACATATTTAACGTGCACCTACTATGTGCTGAACATAAAGGAAGCAGTAAGAGTGAATATTAAAATTTAGGCCACGAAGCATCTTGTGTTTATGGAAAAATAGCTTCTACCAAGAGTAAGGCTTATGTATAAAAGTTATATGTTCATCAGTATGTTTTCAAGATAGCTGCCAATCAAATTTCTCTGGTTACCAAACTTACCAATTAAATGAAGCTGACAATCTCACATTCATGTATATTTAATTAAAATAGCTAAAAACATAATCTATTTCCCTCAACTGTATGATGGAGCCAGCTTTTCTCTGCATTATGTCTGAGTCATTTCCATGGGAAACTCCAAGCACTCTGCCCTATGCAGGCAGTCCTGATTGCTTTACCAGTAATGCCTAGGTACCTAGTCCTGACCCAAGAAGTGTGTCAGGATGACATTGCATGTGAAAGTGATAGAACAGAAATTTGTGGAAAAGGCAATGGTAGAGAGGCTGTGAATGTCTCTATTAAATTTGGGGGTACTAATAAATAAGCATAGTTTCTCTCATGTGAGAAAAGGTAGGTTATATTTAAAGGCACTAGTCTCAGTATGAGCAAAGAAAACTCAGATCCTACAGATTTGTGTACCAGGAACGCCAGAGCCTTCAGGACCACAAGAAGACTGTTCATCTGGATATCAATAAGCAAGCACTATCTGATCAGTATTTTCCTGCTTGGTTACTTTTGTAGATGATTATGGAACACATGCTTCAGGAACACATGCATCCATAAAAAGAGGACAAGAACACTTATATGTGAAGGTTTCTTTAAAACGAAGATGTGGAGATGTGGTGACCTCTGAGAGCTGGTCCCTAATTTTATTTTCTCCCTTTTAGTTAACTTTGTTCTCTAATTACCACGTGTTTCCTGTGAAGTTAGGAAAACATTCAAAACCAGAGATGCTACTTGACAACATAAAACATATGAGAATCCAGATGTTTCCCGGACTCATGCAAGAAAGGCAGTGTTGCAAAGCAGCAAATATCTTACATTATCTTATAACAGCTATTCTTTTATTTTCTACTTCTGCATAAGTAAGGAAGTAGATATTTGAGGAAAAATCTCCCCTGTGATATTTGTGGAAATTTAGCCATAAAGATTGGCATGATATCTCATGTTGCAAACTTGGTTACCTTGCAGAGCTGGTAAGAAACCTATTATAGTATCCAGAGTCTGACTGCCATGTGGGATTTTTTTTTAATTACAGAAATGTTTCTGTTATGATAACAAGACAGTCAAAAAAAAAAAAGTTAATTGGGTATGTCAGTCTGAATTTATCAAGGCCAACTGTTATCATATTCTAATGTCTCATATCCATAAAGTGACATTTGCACTTCATGATCATATACTGTCCTTTCACCTCACAATGCTTTCAAAAAAGAAAAAAAATCACATATAAATGTGAAGTGACAGGACATTTAATATATGTAGGTTAACATTTGGTTTAGGGTACTTTCCAAACTTATGGAATTATGAAAGTTTCTCGTTGCTCAGTTACAGGGCTTGAGGATAATAATGTAAAGGCTTATATTTTCAGCAAGATAAATGTCACAATACAAATATCATTACTCAAGACTTGATTTCATCCCACATTTCAACATTTCCCAATGAGTGTTACAGCTTGGTCACTAGCATGCTATTAGCTACTCTGTCCTTCTTACAATGACTTTCCAATTCTCTAGGTTTCATCCAAATAAAGCAAAAGCAATTGCGATAACCTGGCTCAAACAATACAATTATTTCTAGTGTCCTTTTCCTCCAGGTACATCTGAAAGGCAATCTCTCTTCCTTTTCCTTCTGTATGCACAATAATACACTGATTTGTACACATCGGCACAATTCCATAATAAGCAAAGGAATCAGATGGACAGCCATGGCACAGTTCTCTCCTACCAACCTCTGTAAGCATTATGGCTTCCTTAAAAAAAAAATCACTTTACATCAAGCTCTACAAAAATCTCTGTGCTCTTAAAGTCATCATTCCATCAAGATAAGAAATTACCATATCCTCTCCATTTTGGTAACCTTGAGAATATGAGCCTACTTCAAAAATATAATATGGTGGGTCAGGTGACTAACATTTCCAAATCTATGTCCTTTAAATTGCCTCTTTCTGAACTAGGGCATGATGTACTTACTGAAAGAAAATAATTAAGACATTAAGAATGTAAACTCTGGACTCAGGCACAACTGAGTTAAAAGTCCAACTTTTCTATTTACTAGCTACATGATCTTGACAAAGCTATTTATTCTAAGTCTTCTGTTTCCTACCTAGGGAAAAAAAAAATCAAGCATAATGATACTATTACCTCATGTAGCTTCTATCAGGATTAACTGACATATTGCACTGTAACACTTTAGTCCCATTTCTAGCATATAGTAAATGTCCAATGCAGTTTACAGAAAACAGATGAAGTGTTTGTATGTATGTCTGTGGTGAAAAAATAAAATGACTAATATTACAACATTGTTGTTTTATCTTACTACTAGAGGCACAGTGCTTGAAATTCATACATGAGGGCAGGTGGAGGATGTCCCACAAACTTGCCTGCACCCTCCCCAATCTGGGACACCTTGGGGGATGTCTGCCGGTTTAGGTACGATACCTACCTAAACCGGCAGTCAGGCATCCCTCTCACAATCCAGGACTGCTGGCTCCTAACCGCTTTTCTGCCTGCCTGCCTGCCTGATTGTCCATAACCGCGTCTGCCTGCCATCCTGATCACTGATCACTCCTAACTGCTCCCCTGCCAGCCTAATTGACATCTAATTTCTCCCCTGCCAGGCTGATTGTCCCCAACTGGCCCTCCCCTCCTGGCTTGATGGCCTCCAACTGCCCTCCCCGCTAACCTGATGACCCCTTACTGCCCTCCCCTGCTGGACTGGTCACCCCCAACTGCCTTCTTCTGAATGCTTGATTGCCCCCAACTGTCCTCCACCAACGGCCTGATCACCCACAGTTGCACTCCCCTGCCATGACCTGCCTTCTCCACAGGACCCGCCTCCACCACATGAGGCAGCGGAGATGCTGGGACCGGCCTCCTCTGCACCATGCAGAGCCCTGGGACCCCAGGCCTCACCAGGTGAAGGTTCAGTGGGCCCTAACTCTGCTGTGCGCACAGCCATCTTGTGGTGGCCATCTTATGATGATGTCACGCGAGGGTGTGACGTCACCTAGGCTTTTATTATATAGAATAAGAACCTTTAGAAAAGGTTAACTTATTTCAAAGTTATGTTCAAACTGAATGCCTTTTAAGAAATGACTTTCCTATACCCCTATTTTTATTAGCCTTTTCAGTATTTCATTCCTTGGATTAGCACTTTTTTCCACATAAACCCATTATATCATTATTTACATCCACTAATAGTTGACAATGGGAAGGATATTAAATTGCATTAAATGAGAGCTTTCATAAGAAAACATAGTATTAGTTCATCATCATAATGCATCTAGGATGGGAAGAATTATAGCATCATGCAAAAAACTCACTGTGGCTATTAAATAAAGAAGCAAGCCTATACAAGATAAACCACAATCTAGCTTTACTTTTAAATTTTTATTTTTATAGGAACATCTTTTATTTTATTATGTAAGTGAATTCAATGTGCAGCAATAGTACATCTTAATCAGTTGCAAGCATTTTCTTGACATGGAGGAACGGATAGCCGTCATTTTTATGCCTGCTTCTATAACCAAGCACTGACACTTCAGTGCCATGACGACTAATGGATTTATTGCAGATTAACCTTGACATCCCTCACATCACTGAATGTATGGGTGACTCAAGCTCAAAGTGGTTTTCAGCAAGCTCCACATTTAAGTAGTGCAGCAAGTCTACATTCCTCGCTCCAAATTGATTAACAAAGCTGGTTCCATCAGATGCAAATT